TCGGCGGCGGCGTGTCCCCCCTTAGAAAAGTGCTTTCAGGTGCTTGGGCCAGGTCCTGTAGGCTTGGCCTTGAGGTGTTTGCCCGTGCCTGGGAGCGGGAGGTTGGGTGTTTGCTTGAACTGTAGCAAAGGAGGGCTTAATTTTCCATAAATACAGCTGTGAGTCTCTTAACTCGTTGACCTGTTTGTTTCCATTGGCTTTAAAAAAGGTAGCTGTGGCCTCTGGAGGTCCTCTTTAAGGTTTCTCACATTGTTTAAGCAAGGCTGAAAGCAGATGGGGAGAAAAGTTTGTTTATGTTGACCCTAACAACTGGAGGTTCATCAAATGGAAATGTCTTTTATAGCAGAACCTCTGTATGGTTTGTCAGAGGGAAAAAGCGTCCGGCAGGGTTATGAAATATCCCAATGTATGATGTTGTGCTGAAGACGCTAAAATACTGTAATGACTTATAAAATTATCTCCCTTTCTAGCTGAGCTTAGAATAACTAACTCCTAGCTCCTGCGCGGAGCTTCTAGTTCAATAAATTGGCAAGGCTAAGTGTCATTGTTTCTGGTTTACGGATGGATAAACTGACAAATGAGGAAGACAACAGATGACCCTAAAGTTACTCAGGGATGAGGCTGAATTTCCATCTATAAATGGCAAAAAATAATCTAGTATTGCTTGTAGAAGTCAATAGGGAAGACTTTAGAGGCTGCTGCTGTAGCAGCTCATTCTAGTACTGGATGTTAGATTCTGGTCATTAGTGGTACAGGCTTGATTTTCATGGTAGTGCTTTAGCTTGTCAAAACCCTTTGGGTATGTGTTATATAGAGGACATGCGGAGACACTTGCCTGGAAACAGAGTGACTTCCTTTTCTGTGCCAGCAGAGAGAACCAAAGGATATTTGAAGCATGTAGAGAAGGGGCTACGCACCTCCTGTGGGGTACCACAGCACTCGCTGCTGTATTACCTGAAGTAGAACAGTTCAAATGCCTTGTTTTAATCACAAGTAACACCCTTTCCCTGCCCCTGACAGTAGCAAAAACATTTTATGTCACCCTGTTCATTTGAACAGGGAAGGGGGACAGAAAGGCAGTTCAGTGTTCATATAAAATTCAAGCAGCTGCAGATTTTGAAACTTCGGGCAAGGAAAACATTCTCTGTTTTAGTGAACAGTGATAAATCAACTTTTTGTTGCTGTAGCAACTTAAGGGCTGTGAAACTGCAGAGTGTTATGATGTAGATTGTGTTAGGTGCGTTGCATCACTTTCAATACTGGTTGCATGGTGTTTGTAGCAGAGGAACCAAGGAAATAAGTTGTTTCAGTAATGCCGTGGTGCTTTGAAAATGAGTAGTCTCTTTTGAAAAGGCTTGCAGTGTATGTTTATTTGTGGTCATAGCTTGTGTATTTTCCCACCCCTTTCCTGCATGTACCTCATGCAACCTGCGAGCAGGGAAAAGACATTTTGGGTAGATGTTTTGGGAATTTTTTTATTGTAGTCCAGTGATTCTTTTGCTGAAGTGAATTGTTGGTGTGGTGCTTGACAAAGCAACCGTTTTGGGAGCCAAGGTGATGTTACTAGCAGTGTGCAAGGAAAGGATTGTACAAAACAGGTTGCAGATGAGGCATCTGTTTATGGGTGCTGAATAGCAATGAAGGCCAATGCTGTCTTCAAAAGAGAGATGAAAGGTAGGCTTCAGCTCAAATGGGAAGCATTTTTGTCTATGCTTAATACCTGTGTGTGCATATGACAGGTGTGGCCTGCTTTTGTCCATCTCCAGATGCATTTGTTTTCACTGCTGTAATAATGGACTCAACTGTTTTTTGGATTTTTGTTTGTTCCCTCCCTCCCTCCCAGCCACTCTTTGTAGGTAGGAGCAGAGATGTAACTCTAGTGAAGGTGCTGGAGCAGTTGAAACCTTAAAACTTGTTTTAACTTTAAATAAAGTCAACACTCAAAAACCTGAAACTGTTGTTTGGTTTTGATTTTTTTTTTACCTGGTTGTACTTTGGAGAAATGAAGTGTTTGAAGAATAAAAGATTGTACTTTTTTTTAAAAGGGACAAAATGTTGGCATGATGGGGCTACTTAAAGTGAAAGAATTTATAGTATACACAGAGAAGAAACTGCTTAGATTTAATTCATCATGTGGTATTGTAAGTGGGAAAGTCTTAACCCTCTTGCATGAAGCTAAGGATGCCTGTATAGAGTTCTGCTTCTTTGTCTCTTGCAAACAGTTGTGCTTTTACAGCTGCTTGTTTTCACTGGCTTTAAAAAAGGTAGCTGTGACCTGACCTCTGGGGGTCCTTTTTAACATACGCTATTCTATGATTCCCCGAGCTATTAAATGTGGTGTGAAACGTGCTACCTGAGGACAGAGAAAGTCATTATTTGCTCAATCTTTAGAACCGACTGGTAACAAATAATGTTTAAGATGGCTGTTCTGTGAGGTGTGCCAGTTTGGTGTTTACATGCAGATTTAACTCTGTGCTCAAAACAGAGGAGAGACTTTGAAAAATTCAGGGCCATCCTCCAAGGTTTGGGTGCGATCAGTTCCAGAGTTCAGGCTTTTCTGTTGGAAAAACTCTAGACTAAATTCTAAACCATCATAATCCAAGGGAAAGAGATCAGGTTTCCTGCGCAATGTCATGAGAGAAGGAATCTTTTGCGATGAAAAATTGCGAAATATCAAGTAACTAAAATGTCATCAACTTACATGCATACAATATAGTCAACAAAATTAACCACCTTCAACAAGTGGTGACCTTGTGTGAAACTCTCGAGGGTTTTCTCTTAATTATACTCCAGACTAATCCTCTTTGAATGTGGGTTTAAAAATGAACTCTTAAACATTTGGATTGTGAGTGTGACCCTTGGCAGGGTACTGTATTGTATATCATAGTATGTCTTCAATCTCAAGCTGTTTTACTTTAAACAATTCTATGAAATCAGGTACAACTGTGACACATTACTTTCCTTGGTCACCTCTTAATCTGCATCTGTTGGTTCTCCCCCCCCCCCCCCCGAAATAGAACATGAGAAAAAGCTGCAGTTTTGTCACTGGTCTGCTTTTGAAGTAAATCGGCTATTTAATGATATGTTGGAGAAGCCTAACCTGTTTCTTGCTTGTACTTGCATGCCAATAATTCGTAGCACCATGACATGTCCAATTTGTAGCTTCATTTTGACTACTTGTCTTTCTAAGTAATTTTTGCAGTATCACAATTAACTAGGTGCTAGCGTCTCAGAAGTCTCTCTGCTTCTGAAGATACAGCACCGCTTTCCAGTTTCATCAAGTTTTTACATGTATTAGGACAGCTGATTCAGTTAGATCCACTTTCTGAGATTATTATAAGCTTGTGCCAGTTTTCTTGAGACAGTAAAGCAATCTAGCAGGTGTTAACTGCCAACTATCCGTGTTTGCTTATAGAGTGTTTTATTAGTCCAGCCTCCAAGGTGCTGGATGAATGTGATGAGTGGATGAATGTGATGAGCAGAAGAGTAGGCAGGTCTGTTTTCCTTTGGGTCTTGGTGGTAATGCATTTACTTAATCCTGTCTGGTTTATTCCATCTTTGAATGATTAAGAGCCATGACATAACTGGTAGGCATACTTGCTATTTCTGATCAAACTGTATTTCTGTATTGGTTGCCCATTTTGGTCAGGATAGTTAGCTGTGAGTGCTGATTTTCTTTCCTTATCTTCTAGAGGAAATTTATGATTACTTAGGTAAGGATCCACTGGTATATGGGAGGGTAAGCAAGCTCCTTCTTGCAGGAGCACCCAGAATGGTGCCATTTCATAATATGAGTAAGCTAGTCAAATGCCTCTTCTGTCCCCTGCCTTCCCTCCTCCATTCCTTCTGTCTTCCATCACCTAAAAAAAAAGACCAGGACTCCCATTTCCCTCCACTGGTGCTTGTTTGGTCCTACAAGCGTAAATGAGTGCATTTGGCAAGCTAACCTGATGGAAAGCTTTTCTGTGTTGATGATAATGGTTTGGGGGGATTTTCTTGGAGAAGTGGTTCCTGCCAGAAAAGCTTCCCAAAACAACTGTTCTTTTGCTTGGACAAAGCCCAGAATGGGTGCTGGAGCATGTGGCTGTCCTGAGGGAGCATGGTGGTTAACCTGGTGTGTCACAGTGCTGCAGATGTAGGCAGGAAAGAAGAAGAGGTAGGATGGCCATATTTAGAAAACACGGAGGATTATGTTTTCTTTCACGTAGTTTTAGTGAACCTGCTATTGAGGAAAGAATTAAGTGTAGTTGGGAACAAATTAATTTGAATCTGAACTAAGTTCAATTTGTATTGATTCTCTAGAGAAGAGCTGAAAAACAGAAAATTTTGAAAAAGTAGAATGTTTTAGTTCAGCACTTTGAAATGTGATATTAAAAAAAGTCATTTAACACCAATGTTCATGTCCTAGATTGTAAGTTTTCTTTTTTTAATCTTGAAATATGAATGTTTCTGTGTTGTAGGTCAAATTCTGTATATCTGAGTCTGATTTGAAACACTAAAGTTTTTGCCACCAAAAGTTAATTTTTCAGAAACTGATACTCCTAGAGCTGTATGTAATGCTAGGCAGGGTGTCCTACCCGCATGCTCCACACCAGCAGGGCAGCCTGCATCTCTGGGGAGAGGTAGGGCAGCTCTTCAGTCATGGCTTCTGGTGGTGCACAGAGCCTCTTCTGTCATCTTCTTAGGTATTAGCTTGACCTCTGAAGGTATGTGGAAGGGTGGCCATGATCTCATTTCTAAGCAATGCAGAGCAGTTGCGGCATGGTGCTGCTCCTGCCTGCATCAGGCTGGCAATTGGGGGAGAGTTGGCCATAGGATGCTGGGTTATAGGTAGCTAAAGCTGATGGAAGACTGGGTTATAGGTAGCTAAAGCTGATGGAAGCTTTAAAGCTGAGTTGTACAGTTCCAGAAGCATTTTTTAACAGAGAAAATAATCTTGTGTAAAATACGACTATACTGGAGAGCTGAAATAGTTGTTGAAATGTCTTTAATTTGTTTTTCACTGATCTCTGAGGAGAGATGTGTCCCTGGCCTTCTAAAATAGTAAATGTTGGTCTTCTGCTCCAAACTACAGCACTTGTCAAGCTGCTTGATTTCTGCCTCCCCTACAACACACAGACTTTTAAAATTAACTTTCTAACTAATTTTTAATTGAATAACTTTCCATAGTTTGTTCATGGTAGTGTCAGCATGACTGTAGCTGAAACTTTTGGTACTACAACATACCACTGTTTCCGCCCTTCGCCAAGATCATCACCCCTAAAGCTTGAGGCAGAAACCTAATGGTTTTGATCTAAATGATCAAAGTCCTACGAAATGATCAGCCCTGGAAAACAGAGCTTTACAAATATGCTAGCAGGCAGTCTTAATGAGGAGCAGCCCTACCAGCCAAGCCTGTAGTTAAGCCTAAAGGGGCAATACAGAGTGTGGAGGAGTGCGTTTCCTGTGATGACAAGCTGCTGTGGGCGACTGCTGGGTGCTTGCTGTGCTCACATGGTGAACGCCTGGAGCTGGTGGGGCCCTGGGCATCTCCTGCTCATGTCCGCACAGCTCTGCTGTCCTGACAGTGTGACTGTTCACCAAAAGTCCTATGGGCTGCTTGCCTTTTAGTTGGCCGAGCAGAGCTGAAATGGTTCTTAGAAGAAGCAGCAGCCCTGTCCAGTTACAAACCGGCCACTAAGATCTTACCAGATTTTATTTTTTTTTTTCCTCTTTGCCTGCATGACCCTGAGGCTAGCTGCTGAACTTGATAGTGCTGTGGTTTTCCTGTTTCTTTGTTTATGGGCTGGTGTATGCTCTGGACGTGGCTCCTGAGGGGAGAAGCGGTGGTGATCTTGAGACTGCATCCTCCTTCCAAACAGTACTCCTTTGGAGTCCTAATTAAAAGGATCAGTGAATCAGCTAACCTGACTGTCTGTTGGGTCAAAGCTCAAAGGGAGGAATATTTTGTTACTTGGGAATAGTGGAACAACTTCCATTAGGCATTCTCATCAGTATAGCAGTACAGATAGCTTAATAGCCCCTCTCTAACAAGAGTTGAGATTTGCATGCTGCTATGCTGCTATGCTGCTATGCTGCTATGCTGCTATGCTGCTATGCTGCTATGCTGCTATGCTGCTATGCTGCTATGCTGCTATGCTGCTATGCTGCTATGCTGCTATGCTGCTATGCTGCTATGCTGCTATGCTGCTATGCTGCTATGCTGCTATGCTGCTATGCTGCTATGCTGCTATGCTGCTATGCTGCTATGCTGCTATGCTGCTATGCTGCTATGCTGCTATGCTGCTATGCTGCTATGCTGCTATGCTGCTATGCTGCTATGCTGCTATGCTGCTATGCTGCTATGCTGCTATGCTGCTATGCTGCTATGCTGCTATGCTGCTATGCTGCTATGCTGCTATGCTGCTATGCTGCTATGCTGCTATGCTGCTATGCTGCTATGCTGCTATGCTGCTATGCTGCTATGCTGCTATGCTGCTATGCTGCTATGCTGCTATGCTGCTATGCTGCTATGCTGCTATGCTGCTATGCTGCTATGCTGCTATGCTGCTGTTAGAGAGGGGTTATTAAACTCTCTGTACTGCTATACTGATGAGAACGCCTAATGGAAGTTGTTCCACTATTCCCAAGTAACAAAGTATTCCCTTTATACATCCCTGTGTGAGGAACTGGTG